CTTTAATGTTTAACTTGGTCTTGGAGAGGGCAAAGAAGTTAGAAATAATAAACAAGATTAATTATACTTATTACTACTAAAAAACACTAGAGGTGCCAAAGATGCTTAATTCTTTAAACTCTAATAGCAAGTTAAACCTGGCCTAGGTTTGCTTTTTAATTGCCAGCAAAAATATGGCCAATGGAATTACTTGTTTCTGTCTTAAGATAGTTCCCAGGTGCAAAATGAGAAATCTTTACCTGTCTGAGAGACACTTTACAGTGTCATGTTTGCTCATTAAAGCATCTTCCCCAGTTTCCTGAACATGTACATGTTTAGAAAGAGGTGTCTTCACGTGTGTGAGTAAATATATCCATATGAAATTCAAGCTCTGTTGTTATTGTGCAATTGGAGACACTGCAAATATTTGCTTTCTATGAATTCAGCTTTATTGGTGGTATGAAGCAAAAAAAAAATTTTCCATATGCTTCTAGAAAGAATACAGAATATTTTTATGCTGCTTAGTCTGTTTGCCTCAACCTGCATATCCATTTTCTGCCTTCTCTGCTGGCTACTGCTCCAGGATACAAACTCCTAAGGGTTATAGCAGTGAGGCTGTCTCGTCGACTGGTTTCCAATTGCCTTCTGCCATTGGGGAGTGCCCTCAGGAGATTAGAGGGCGAGAGGAGAGAGAGATACCATCTTCCTCCTTGCTCTTAGCGGCAGTGGGCTCTGTTTCCGGTTTGTACACTTCAGTGAACACTGTTCCTGCTGGGCCTCCCTGACCTTCTCCTCAGCTCCAACTCTCTGGGCTCCAGTAACACCAAGTCGCCTTCAGGTTTTGGGTATGGCTACCTGATAAAATATAGGACACCCAGTTAAACTTAAATTTCAGTTAAGCAGCTAGTACTTCTAGTGTAAGTAAATGTAATTGCAATATTTGGGACAAACTTGTACTAAAAAGTTACTCATTGCTTATCTGAAATTCATATTTAACTGGTGTCCTGCATTTTTTTTTTTGCATCTAGTGACCCTAGGCCAGGGGGTTGCAATGGCTGGTTGCTGGGCGCTTCACCATCCTTCACTGTTTCCCTTAAGTGTCATCCTTCCCTTAAGAGAATTACAATCTGACTTAGATGCTGCTTCCTTCTGGGGCAATGACTGTACACGCTGCCAGCACATAACAGGCCAAGGGGAGAGCTGCGGGGAGGGGTTACACTTGGGGCTACAGTTCCCGAGACACATAGAAACTTCCAGGCATCCTCTGATTGAACCTGTAAACCTTTTGGAATCAAGATGAGGTTGAGGAGGTGAGATTAGGCTGAGGGGGCGGGGATTGGGCTGGGAGGGCGGGGATTAGGCTGAGGGGGCGGGGATTGGGCTGAGGGGGTGGGGATTAGGCTGAGCGGGCGGGGATTAGGTTGAGGGGGCGGGGATTGGGCTGAGGGGGCGGGGATTGGGCTGAGGGGCTGGGGATGAGGCTGAGAGGGCGGGGATTAGGCTGAGGGGGCGGGGATTGGGCTGAGCGGGTGGGGATTAGGTTGAGGGGGCGGGGATTGGGCTGAGCAGGTGGGGATGAGGCTGAGGGGCGGGGATTGGGCAGAGAGGAAGCACAGGGGCGTGGGTGTAACAGCACTCAGCTGAATTTAGAGATTGAATTGCTTCACCTCCTCCTTTGTGACAGTCTTAGCCTTACAGCCCCACTGTATTATAAAGCAACCATGAAAGCTAAAGCTTGGTATTTTCTTCAGTCTTTCAACAAATACGTATAAAATTTTTCTGCAAGCCAGGTTCTGGCTGAGATGCTCTTCTTTTCAGCCATCTAATCTGTTTCTACTTTTGTATTAGTAACCGTCGATAGGTTTTTACAGCCAATCTCAGACGACTGAGGGTTGGGCCCCTTTGTCCTGGGTCAGGGGGATTGCAGCCTACTTCTTCAGTGCTGTATCTCCTCTCCCACCCAATAGGTGGTTTTAAAGCCACCAGATTCTGACAGTCTGTGACAGGTCCTGTTTATTGCTCAGAAATCAAGAGGAAAGTCCACTCTGCCAGCAGCTCCCTTGGGATTTTTCTCAGAGGGGGGTGGTAATGATTCCTATTTAAAATGATGCTGGAAAAAGTGGGCTTTATTCCCAACGCAGAAAACTGCGTAGGTCGGCAAAACCTGAGAGAAGAGGAGAAGAACGATATACCCATGTCAGAGGGGCTCTCTGTGCCCTAACTTTTTCAACACCCCATTCTAATGTGTGTTGAGGTTTTTAGAAAATTAGTGCATCTTTTAGCCACTAAATTCATCAAACTATGGGCCTTCCCAAGGCAGAGACTCTATTTCCAACATGTTTGTATCCTGGACTCAGCACAGTGCTGGTACAATGTGTGGTCCTGAATTAATCTAACTGCTGATCTAAGTCATTGTGTGTATTAGTGGAGTCTCAGCCAGCTGACTCTTGCTTTCTAAGTGCCAAATTTTAACTTGAATCTTATTTTTATTTTTCAAATCAATTTCATTAATTGGATGCAATAAGATGCACCTCCATTAGTACAGATTTTGGTGAATCGACAAATATAAACATCTGTGCAACCACCTCCCAATCAATGTATAAATCATCTCCTCCAACCCCAAAATTCGTTTGGAGTTAACTCTCCCTACTTGACCTTTCTTCTTTTGTTTTAGACAGAGTCTTTGCAGTGGTGTGATCTCTGCTTGCTGCAACTTCTGCCTCCCGGGTTCAAACGATTCTCCTGCCTCAGCCTCCCGAGTAGCTGGAACTACAGGCATGGGCCACCATGCCCAGCCAATTTTCATATTTTAGTAGAGATGGGGTTTCACTATGTTGGCCAGGATGGTCTCAATCTCTTGACCTTCTGATCCGCCCACCTCAGCCTCCCAAAGTGCTGCAATTACAGACGTGAGCCACCGTGCCTGGTCTCCACTTGACCATTTTTGACGGGAATTGGTCTAAAATACAACTCCTTTCACTTCATTCCATGAGAATACCCAATGCCAGTGCCTTTATTATTGACTCCCTGAAGCCTGCATTATGAATATTGGTTTCTGTAATATCTTTAAAAATGGATGAGGGGATTAGACTATTTTGCCTCTAATAAATCTGCACTGCTTTGCTTGGGAGGTTCTTGTTGGCCGTTGTAAAATTGTTAATCTTTTCTCTAACACATACCTGTCACTTTTATTATACGTGTAGTTTTTAAAAATCAATGTTCCTGGGCTGGGCACAGTGGCTCATGCCTATAATCCCAGCACTTTGGGAGACTGAGGTGGGCAGATCACAAGGTGCAGAGATCGAGACCATCCTGGCCAACATGGTGAAACCCTGTCTCTACTAAAAATACAAAAATTAGCCGCTGGTAGTGGTGTGCACCTGTAGTCCCAGCTACTTGGGAGGCTGAGGCAGGAGAATTGCTTGAACCTGGGAGGTGGAGGTTGCAGTGAGCCGAGTTCACTCCACTGCAGTCCAGCCTGGCCACAGAGTGCGACTCTGTCCAAAAACAAAAAGATCAGTGTTCCTGCTTCTCATGCAACAGCATCCCTGACCCATTTTCTTATTTGCCTCTTCTAATCTGGTATGGCTCAAAACACCAGATAATCAATCTTATTAAGAATTAAGAAAATAAGTAAATAGGGTACTCTTAAGAATAAATGGGTCTAGATCTTGGTGTCATGTCTTTGCTCACAGCTTTTTATCTTCCTGGCTCTGGGCTTTGGCTGTCTGAAGCCTGACCATCCTCAGTGCTCAGCTTCTCTTTGGCTCAGCAGAGGAAGCACAAGGCTGTCTCTTTGATTTCCTCGGGATGCCATTTTCCACACCCACTTCTCAAGGCCAAACGGGAGCGATTTCACCCATGCCACACTTAGAGTTGCCAACTGTGGAACGCAGAAGCTTTTTGTGAAATTCGAGCCGTGTTTTCTTTGAGAATTTTAGAAAAACTGTTTTATAGCAACCCTTCTAGTTCAACCAACTGAGCTTTTTTCTATACAGTAATTAAAAAAAATCTCCAATGATGTCCCTTTAAGAGCCTCTCCAGTTGGCAGCCTTCTCTCCTTGGCTTCTTGCCTGTCTCTGTCCTGCTCTGTAGCATCACTGAGAGCCGTTGTGTACCTGCGGACTGTGGGGCTCTTGGCCACACTGAATGGGCCATGAGGGGACCCCGGGGACACCCTGCATTACATTTGAAAATGGCTAAGAGGACTTGGAAAGAAGAAAACTGATCTCACCATTTCCAAGGGATGAGGGTACATGTGGTTGTGGATTCTTGTTCCTGGGTGAGTTCTGGATGTTCTTTCCTGAGATAACATTCAACAGTGGTGTGCAGGCTGCAAAAGGCAGCTGAACATCAGTGACTCTTCCATGGTGTAAAGGGATTACTCTGGATCCTAACCCCCGAAGCCTGTGCTGGCCGACCTGGCCGAGGCATTCATGATGAAGGGTGGCTCGTCACTTCCTTGACACTTGGCTCTGAAGAATGAAGGTAGATGGCTGGGAAGTCACTGTGATCGTGGTATCTTGCATTGATTGTGGAGCCTGTTGCTCTACAGTGGAGGGGCATTTGTAGGCGGGTTTGGAAAGTAGAAGTCCAGAGAGTGAGGAAAGAGGGAAAAATCAAAAGAGTGGAGAAAGATGACACCTATAAAACCTGAATTTAGTTGGAAAGAAAATCTTTTAAAGTTACTTTTAACAGATAAATTGATCTTGTTTTTGATCATTTTATACAGAAGGTAAATAAAATTTATTTAGTCTGAAATGCAAGATAAAGATGAACTGTTTTCCAATAGTTTGTGCAATTTTCATGCAAAAAATGAAGGTTACAGTAGATACAGTAACTCCTTTGAAATGGATAATTTCTGGATGGTTTCTCATTTATGAACTGAATGTATATTCTTCGTCCTGCTCGCATGCAAACTCATATGTGGAAATCCTAGCCGTCAATGGAATGGTATTATGAAGTAGGGCCTTTGGGAGGTGATTAGGTCACAAGAGTGGAACCCTCATAAACGGGATTAGTGCCCTCATAAAAGAGATCCTGGAGAGATCCCTCTCTCTCCCTCTTTCCATCGAGTGAGGATATAAGAAGCCATCTGGAAACCAGGGAGAGAAACCTCATGCAGTCTGACCGTGCTGGTACCCTGACCTTAGACTTCCAGTCTCCAGAAAGTGAGATATAAGTTTCTATTGTTTATAATACACACATCTGTTGTACTTTGTAATAGTAGCAGCTTGAACTGAGACAGGGTTCATTTGCACATGATCTTCCTGGATCATCTGTGCCTCATCCTGCTTTGCTGTTGCTCCAACATTCACTGAGACCTTTATATTCTACATGTGTTTGCTGACTTCTGCAGCACCTGCTTCCCTCATAAGTGTGTAATGCCCAGGAGAGGAGGCATTTTCTCTGTTCATTTATGCATTCTTAGTGCCTAGGATGTGCCTGGCACATTAAAAAAAAATACTCAATAGGTGTTTGTTAAATGACTGGGTGAACACCAGTAGCACTTTCTTTTTTGAAAAATTGATAGCATTTAGGCCAGGCGCGGTGGCTCACGCCTGTAATCCCAGTGCTTTTGGAGGCTGAGGTGGGTAGATCACAAGGTCAGGAGTTCGAGACCAGCCTGGCCAAGAGGTTGAAACCCCATCTCTACTAAAAATACAAAAATTAGCTGGGCATGGTGGTGCGTGCCTGTAATTCCAGCTTCTCAGGAGGTTGAGGCAGGAGAATCGCTTGAACCTGGGAGGCGGAGGTTGCAGTGAGCCAAGATCACACCATTGCACTCCAGCCTGGGTGACAGAGTGAGACTCTGTCTCAAAAAAAAAAAAAAAAAAAAAAAAAAAAATTGATAGCATTTAAAAGATATGGTGGCAAAGGTAATACATTTTCACAGAGCATATTTAGAAAACATAGAAACAGAAGGGAAAAATAAAAATTAACCCCAATTTCTCCATGCGGAAACAACAATGTAAACATTTCGATGTGTATCCTTCCAGGAGTTTTCCAAAGCATTCATTTAGCAGGGACTGAGTGAGACGATACATTGTATATTTGTCAAAAGATGCTTCCATTTTCACCTTGTCCTGGTCGACTGCAGACAGTCTCCTTGGATGATGCTTGTGACTCTTCCCCCAACACTTGAGTGGCACCTTGTGGTTGGGTACATGGGTCCCAAAGCTGAGCCTGAAGCCGGTGCTGGGAACCGTCACCAAGGGCGTGGATGCTTCCATCAAGGCAGACAAAATGTAAAGAACTAGCTTCAGTGGCACTAATGAGACCAATAGCAAACCCAGCCTGGGACGTCTTAGGAGACTGGTCACAATTTCCATTTCTCTCTCCTTGGTGTTTCTGCACAATACATGGGGAGTTTGGAGAGCAGGAAGAGGCCTCGAAAAAGACATCCTGGGCTTCCTGATAATGTGAGCATCAAGGGGCTCCACTACTTAATTATAAAGAAAAGTTTTATTATTAATTTGTTTTCTAAGATTAAGTGGACTATATTTATGGTTGTATGCCTTTAAAAAATAAAATTTACTTTGATTTAATCATTTTTTAAACATTTCTAAGGGTGTCTGAAAATGTTTGGCTTCCCTGGATTAATACATGCTTCTCTGACCTGTATAAATTTGCAAAAGGATGAAAATTACAAATAGGAGGGAAGACTTCAAGATCCCCCCCAGGAGGCAATAACGATTCAGGTGCAGGGGTTCAGTTTAGAGGTGATCTGGGAAGCACCAGGAGGGGTCAACGAAGTGAGAATGGGCAGGGAAGGGAAGGAGGCCAATTCAGGTGTGCCCACAGCAGGTTATGTCAGTGGGCACTGGTGCTCCATCCCACTGGGACTTCTGCCAGGGCGTGTAGATGCCCTTCCTGCCTGATGGATACAAAGCTACAGCATCTAATGCTCACTCACGATTGGTTGCAGGCTGCTTCTGTAGGGGGTCACTCCCTCGTTCTCCTAGCTTGCCCTGTACACAGGTTGAGGACGCTCCTGTGGCTGGAGAAAGCTGGAACTGAAGGTTGTAGAAACTTGCAGAGAGAAGCCATTAAAGTGACTCCGGAAGGTGAGTGCCTGCAGAGGGGCTGTGGGTGGGGCAGCAAGAGCATTTGATGCATCCAAGGTGCTCCAGCCCCACTTTCACCAGGCAGCTCTGCATGGGAGATTATAGAGCCTGGCTTCACTGCTAATGAAGTGCTATTTTAATTTCCACCTGGGGCCAGGCGCGGCCTGTGATCCCAGCACTTTGGGATGCTGAGGCAGGTGAATCAGCTTGAGGCCAGGAGTTCGAGACCAGCCTGCCTAACATGGTGAAACCCTGTCTCTACTAAAAATACAAAACATTAGCTGGGTGTATTGGTGGTGGAATCTATAATCCCAGCTACTTGGAGGCTGAGAAAATGCTTCAAACGAGAATTTTTGAAGCCTGGGAGGTGGAGGTAGCAGTGAGCCGAGATTGTGCCACTGCACTCTGACAAAGCAAGACTGTGTAAAAAAAAAGAAGAAGAAAGAAAAAAGTTCCATTTGGCCGTGTTTCCTTGCTAATAGGCTACCTGAATGGAAGGGCTGATGGACAGCTCTTTATTGGGTCAGGCTTGCTAAAAGTCAGGATTCCTTTGAGGGGTGCGGGTGGAGGGTGAAGTATTGACAGGTAATTGTCATAATGAGGATACCTCCTTTCTGGAGGTGGGAGTCGTTAATTTAATTCCTTCCTGGGCAGCATTGTCTGTCTTCCCCCCTTCAACCCTAAACATCCCCCTAAACAGCTCCATGTCGGTCACGGAGGTCTGAAAGGACCTGAGGCTTCCGTGAGCATCTCACTGGGTGATCCTTCCCTCGCCGCTAGCAAATCTCCCTCCTGGGCACCCTTCTCTGCGTTTGTCTTGGTGGCAAAAGTCTGACTGTTAATGCTGGACTCCTTGTTTATGGTGAGAACAGAAGGGAAACCGCCACTGTCCCCATCCACGTGTTTCCTCTTCGTGTTAGGTTGGTGCAAAGGTAATTGAGGGTTTTGCGCAATTAACTTTGCACCAACCTAATAGAAATGCTGCTTCTCCTGTAGCTGGGTCTGTAAGCTGTCTGGGTGAGGGGAACCAGGGATTCAGGGACTTTGGGAGGTAGGCAGAATTCCATCCGGCATTTCCAGAACAAACACAACCCGGAGGGTGATACGGCACCTCTCTCCTTGTCATCTTTCCCCAAGGAGAGGCTAGACTCTGGAAATCCCCCAAGGTCTGGGGGTTTCCTAAGCATATGACCAACACAGCTCTTACCAAATGGCCTTGAATGAACAGCTGCTGGGCTAGATGAATGATTAATATTACTGATGTTTTAATTTAGTGACTCTTTCTTATGAATAGCTTCCCTGTGAGAACTGCATGATGAGGCAGGTGAGGAGAATGTGTGTATTCCTGGTCCCTTACCTGCCGTAACGTCTAAAGGTCAAGTGCTACCAGCCCTTTAAGAAAACTGGGAATTTGGTAGCTTGTGGGAAGGCATGAGACTTTTGCTTAAAGGTCTTAAGGTTTAAATGTTTCGATATTATGCTGGCAATAAACCTGTTCTGTGTTTAATATTCGCAAGAGTGCTAGTAAAAAGATATCCTAATCAATATTCTATGTACTACTTTGGAAGTTGATGTAAGATTGAGCTGATGTGGGTATTACATTGTTTTGGTATGAATATTTTCAAAACCAGATTGTCCTCTTCTACCTCACGAAGATGTAGGAATTGAAACAAAATAAGTCTAAGGATTTTTGTCAATTGACTGATGTACACCTCAACTACTTATGAAACATTGGAAGTAGCTCTTAGCCACTTTGATCTTGGGGAGTTCTGATTCTGCTTGGCAGAATATAAAAATATGTTCCTGGAACAAATACTCAAACATGTTCTAAGTTTGCAATACTTAGAAATAGCTTTTCAATGCAAGCCCTAAATATTGGGTCTGTTCCTTTTTTTTTTTTGAGACAGAGTCTCACTCTGTCGCCAGATGCCAGGCTGGAGTGCAATGTCGCAACCTCGGCTCACCACAACCTCCGTCTCCCAGGTTCAAGCAATTTCCCTGCCTCAGCCTCCTGAGTAGCTGGGACTACAGGTACACGCCACCATGCCCAGCTAATTTTTATATTTTTAGTAGAGACAGGGTTTCACCATGTTGGCCAGGATGGTCTCGATCTCTTGGCCTCATGATCTGCCCACCTCAGCTTCCTAAAGTGCTGGGATCACAGGCACGAGCCGCCATTCCTGGCCGGGCCTGTTTAGCAGCAAAAACTGTGCACACTCCCATTTCCCTTTGAATCACCAACGCAAGAGTGCTGCTCCAGAATGAAAATGCTAACAACACAACTCTTACAGTATTTTTTGTGCTTTGTTTCTCTAGCTTTCAGTGGAGATACTTAGACTCTGAAAAATAATTGCCATAATGCCAGCCATCTAATATGGAAAGTCTGACAAATGTCGTTTTCTGATTTAGATGAAGTAATTTATAAAGCATTGAAAGGAAGCCCCAAGGATTCTATTCTCAAGCTCTCTGCTTTCCCCTGGTTTAGTTAAAATTGTTCCCATTTCTTTGAAATCTGGCTCAAAGCTCACCTCCTGCCGGCAGTCCACTGTGAATAACTTCTTATTTTGATCTCTCTTCTATGTTGAACAATCTTCCCTCAATATTTACATTGTATGTTTGCATTTTGTCAATGAGAAGACATTAAGTGTATTTGAGAAGAGGAGGTGTATGGTTTTTATATATATATATATATATATATATATATATATATATATATATATATAAAGACTGCTCTTGCCATGGGATAGAGGATATGCTGATGGGGGAAGTGAGTGCTGTCAGTGAACTGGGTTGTTGACCATGTGTGTAACGAAAGGGAGACAGAAGAGGGATTTGGAAACAGAAGGGATGTGGAGGCAGAGCTTGACAGTGGACAGTTATTAAATGTAGGATAATGACAAGATTTTGAGCTTATGCCACTGGGAAGATGGAGTGCTGTTAACTCAGATGGGGTGTGAACGATCAGAGAGGTAGGAAACATCTGTGTATAGGAAATAGGTATGTCGTGAGTTTTATTTTGTGAGGTCTGCGGAGAGATAATACTTCCACATCTGCGTATGGATTTTCCATAAGTAATTGGAAAAGTTAGCTTAGAGTTTGGGAGAGGAGTTGGAACTGAAGACAGAAGTGTGGCAAATGTGCGTGTGTGTGTGTGTTTGCTGGGGGGGCAGTGAACAAATTCGTGGGAGTCCGTGAGACCATCAGAAGGGTGCCGTAAGTGAAAAGGTGAAAGGACCCTGAGAATTCTTCTACGTCCAGGTTGTGGGCAAGGAACAGCCAAGGAAGGAGGCGGAGCGGGAAGCCTCAAAATTTAGGTGGGGAGTGGAGAGTCTTGTCTTAGAAGCAGAGTATTATATTGAATGTCTCCATTCAATTCAATTAGACAAACATTTACCAAACTACTAATAGGAAAGCACACTGCTGGGCTCCAGTACTGCCAAGGTGTTTCTTGATTTTAAGGAACTTGTAAGATAAATGGAGAGATGGACATTTATCGGGTTGAACCATATGAAATGCCAAGATTCCACCATTTTGATTCACAAAAACTGCAGTTTCATATGAAACAACCTAATGTAATATGAGAAAAATGCAATTAGTATCTTCACAGAGTTTTTAAAAATGGTATTTGTATACACAGAGGAAGTGTACCCAAGATTGAAAAACACATCCCAAAAGGCCTGACAAATACATTTGTTTTCCTGAATGACTTTTATTTTAATTGCTCAGAACATTAGAATCTTCTGAAATGTCAGGTTTAAAAGGTTAAGTTGCCTTATTGTTATAGAAGGCACCAACACTAACTTTTCACTTACGTCCAGAGATAGGAGAAGGTTTAAGTTTTTCTCTTAATGATCCAGCAAACATCCTGAGATCACCCTGCCGTCCTAATTAGACCAAATGGATTCCATGCTAACCCTAAATCGTGGATAGGGAGTTCCATGTGTTAGTCTCAGGTCTGGAGTCTTGTCCATCATGAACAAGAGGAGGGATCAACCCACATAAACCCATAGCTGCTCCAACGGGGAGTGGATGAGATGGAGATTGGGAAAGCAACCAGCCATGTCACTGTTGAGTTTAAGTGGCAGCGTGGCACTTCAGGTTTAGGAAGATTGCTTCGCAGCATTGTGGATTTAACTGTTGAACGTGTGTGATATTGGAGACAGGAAGGCCGATCAGGAGGTAATTTAAGGGTAATTAAGGTAATTAAGAAAAGATGAGTGTGCGTGAAAACGGGCAATGTGAGTCAGCAGGACTCACTTCATGTGTTATGGAGCTGATAGAAATTGGCCACCTGGATGCAGAGAATGAGGGAGGCGGGATGGAGTAAGAATGCCTTGCCCATTTCTGAGGTCATGGTGAAAGTCCTGGGGTGGTTCATTATTAGAAGTAGAGGGAGAAGGCCGGGCGC